CCCAAGAGCCCGAGACCCCTCCGCCTGGGATGGAGGACAGCGGTTTGCTGGATCGCGACCCCGAGGACGAGGAGGACGACGATGAAGAAAAGGAAATGCCCAGCTCCCCCACACCCACGAGTCCCTTTGAGCGCGCCGACAGCCCCTGCGCTGGTCTCCTTGGGGGGGACGGGCCACTTGTGGAGTCCCTGGATCTCCCCGATATTACCCTGCTGCAGCTGGAGGGCGAGGCCTCCCTGTGAGGGGACTCCCAGGGGCACCGCTTTCCCGAGCTGGCGTTGGGTTTCCGAGTGCATGACGCGAGTGGACTGAACAAGCGCGGTGCAGCACGCTTCACTCCGACCGCTGCTCTGTGGATCAGGCAGAGAGAGAGAGAGAGAGACTCCTTGAGGAAGGATTTATAGGGTGAAGGACTTTGGGAGCATCGAGAATTCTTTCTGCCTAACCAAGCCAGAGACGTAGCAAACTGCAGAAAGGTGAGGTTCCAGGAGAGGATGCGCTCATCTCTGGACTCCCATCCATCCCCTCCCCTGTCCTTCCGCCCCCACCCCAGCCAACAGGAGAACCCCTGAATTGTGTAAATAAAACTCTGCTTTTTCTATTCTGAAAAAGGACTTATCCAGGACTACGGCAAATTGTCTCCAACGATTTACCTAGAAATTAAAGAATTGGGGTATTCTGTTCTGGCAACAGAAAATTTCCCCTTCTGCTGAAATCCAGGATATTCAGCGCTCTGCAGAAGCCTCTCCCCTCACAGATCTTTGCGGCTGCTGATTGGTAAAGGAGGCTTGAGGAGGGAACTGCAGCCCTAGAAATCTAGGAGAATGGGGTTCCCAGGGCCCCTGGCTGGGAGGAGCTGGCTATGAATGTGCATGAAGACAAAGTAGCTCAACCTCTCTAGGATTTTGCATGCAGAGCGGATCCTGCTTTGTCGCTGACTACATCTGGAATTGCTTTTTCCACTCGCTGGGACTTAGAGAACAAAGAGCCGGCTCACAGGCAGAGACTTGGGGGTGCTCAGCAACAGCCCAGATTTAGGGGACATTTGAGGGACTTTTGGGGGCCACAGCCAAAAACTGTCTCTCTCCTGGCTACACCCGCTTATCTTCAGTTCCTTTTCCTGTCAATATGTCCCTGCCCTCTGCTTCTCGGTCTTGCCTCCATTATGTCTTGTGTGTGTTATGTGTGTCCACTTGTGTAGTAGTATGTGAGCCCTGAGGGGCAGGGCTTGTGGCTCTGGTGTTAGGTTCAGGGGGCTTCAGACCCTTCTATGAGCCCCAGGCTGTCATGGCGCTTTCCGCTCTCCTTCCCCCTTTCCTCCCACAACCAGGGCATGGAGCATGTGGCTGTCCTGAGGTTCTTAACTGATGTGCCTCCCTCCTATCTCCTCCAGTGGTGACTTTGTGTGCCCTTCCTCCTCCTCTGTGTATTCCTTCTCAATGCTTTTCTTGGTGTTAATCTTAATAAAGAGGCGTCATCCCCCTCCTTGCTGACTGGTACCAAGGGGGTGTCAGGGTTGAGCTTAGTGGGAACTGCAGGGACCATGCCTTCCCTCCTCTCTCCTTGCTTCTAATTCCAAGGAGTTGACCATACCTGCCCTCGTCAGGACAGGCATTGCCCACTCTACCTGCTCTCCCTTCCATCCTGGACGTTGACCTCCAACTGGATTGGGAAAGGCTAGGGTATGTGTTAAGACTCCCAAACCAACAAGGATTTTTAGTAGCCAAAACTCCAGATGTGCAAGAGACTTCTTTTCAGTGAAGCGCCTAGCCCCCGAGTCCTCGAATGGCATGATGCCTGTTTCATGGGAGGGCTGGGGAGGGGGATTGTTTGGGAGGGATTGCTGGGGATCTCTGTGAGCAGAGTGACACATCACAAAGGAAACTGCAATAACTGCCTCAGGCCTCTAGTGGGGAATGCCTTACCCCAGGGAGCACAGACTGACATGAGCTCTAGTCAGCTCCCTGGGCAATGGGGATTTCCCAAGGCTGTCCCAAACAAAATTTAGAAGGATGAGCTGCGTTGGTGTGTGTGTGTGTGTGTGTGTGTGTGTGTGTGTGTGTGTGTGTGTTCTTGCTGCTGGTTGCTGTGGAGAGGCGGAAAAAGCACCAGAATCACAGATCTGGGCTTAAATGTCAGTTCCGACGCTGAATGATTGCCTGAGACTTAGGACAAAAAGTTTGGGGGGAGGAAAATGTCTAAGGCTCCTGGGAATTCTGTGCATATAGTTTTCTTATATGTAGTTCTCTTGGAATGGGGAGGGGGTTGTGATGACTGACTCCTCTGGGAAAACAAAACTACCTAGGGAAGGTTCTAGAAGTTCTCTGTTTATATAATCTTTTTTTATCTAAAGAACTCTTATCCTTCAGGATCACCAAGTAAAGGGGATAGTAAGATTCTGACATGGACCTTTTTGTCACAAATGTCATACAGTTATGGGCCGAAAAGGATAGGATGACCAGAGGAAGCCCCGAGTTGTACAGTGTTTGGGGAACGTGGGCTGGAGCCTTTAAGGAGGGCAGTTAAAGTATATTAGTGAGGAAGTATCCCTGGGAAGAGGCTGGAAATGGGATCCTATTAACATTCCAGTATTTAGTACCATTAACAACAATGATAGGTATCCTTTATTAAGCCCTTACTGTCTGCTAGACACTGCCCAATTTTATCTCCCAACCACTATATGAAGTAGGCACTATTATTATTTTCACTTAACAGTTCCAGAAACATATTCCAAGACTTGCTCACGGTCACAGTGCTAGCACTTGGCAAAACCAAGACGTCAAGAACCCTAGATTGGAACCATGCTGCTAATTGCTCTTCGGAAGTCTAAGAGTCCTGGAAAGGAGATACTGTTAGTCACATTTTATCTTCTCGGTTGGAACAAGAAATTGCAGCTCAAGCTTTGGTTAGTGACCCTTCTCAGAGTCCAGTGAATAATACAGTAATGACACCAAAAAGATGGCCTTTTAGACCCTCCCCTTGAGAGGAAGATGTTGATGCTTCCAGACACTCCCTGCCACAGCTCCATTTTTGTGCCTTTCTTGTTCCCTGTAACTCGGATTCTTCAGAGTCTAACATGAGTCTCAAGACAGCATAGAATCAATCTCTGTACAAAGTTCAGGTTGAGCCCTGTAACCCTGACTCCATTTTGGTTCCCCTTCCTATGCCCATTGTCATAAATAGGTTATTAGTTCCTTAGCTCAGGGCCTCTTAGAGGTTCTCCATCTATTCCTTCCAAGTCCAGATAGATAAAAATCTCCCCAGGAAAAGCAAGTCTGCACTTTCTTCGGTCACCTGCACCAGCATCTAATAGGGATCCAGCACAGGTTGGTCTGCCACCTCCTTCTTCCTCCCTATTCCCCACTCACCTCTTGCATTTCTCCTTTGAATGGTCCTAATTAGTGAGTTTCAGGTGTGATTCCTAGTCTGGGACACATGGATGGGGTCACTATTGAACTTCAGGGGATCATAGCCCCTTGAAATTTAATGCAAAACTCATGTAAGTATGAAAACTCTCTAGAGAGAAGATCTATTATTTAAACTTAATTATTTAAGAGAAGAATTAAGTTTAAAAATAAGAATCACTGAGCTAAAGGGTAATGAAACTTTTTTTTTTTACTCAAAAAATACCAAAGAAGAAATGATTCTGTCTGAACTGGTGTTGTATTGAACTGGCAATATGCCCTTCCCTCCTGTGGACTCTCAAGTGTTTCCACTGAATTGAAATGTTCACATGAATCTGATTACTCACAGCCTACTAAACAAATTCAAGTTATATTGGCACCCATTAGAATGTGCTAAGGATCTTCTAATACTTTCACTCTGCCAGAGCACTGCTGATACATAGAAGTGAGGAAATGATCCTCTCCATAGCTTTGTGCTACACTTCATGTCTGGGCCCAACACAACACGGAGTGTGATTCATCACAGTTCTTTCAGTTTCTGGCACTCCTGTCTCTCAGTGGTCTAAGGGAAATCTCTCAGGGTTAGCTCAGTTTCAAAATGCAAACCCATACAACTATGTAGAAATATGCTGTAACTCTAGCCTGGTACAACTAAAATCTGCTCTAGAGAAACAGTTATTTCTCAAAGACTTGCAAACTTCCCTCCTACATAAATCTGCAGGTTTTTAAAAATATATTTTTAATACATTTTTAAAAATTGATTTCAGAGAGGAAAGGTGAAGTAGAAAGAGATAGAAACATCAATGATGAGAGAGAATCATCAATTGATGGCTGCCTCCTGCACACTCCCTACTGGGGATCGAGCCCAGCAACCCGGGCCTGTGCCCTCACCCAGAACTGAACATGACCTTCTGGTTCACAGGTTGATGCTCAGCCAGGGAGGCACACCGGCGAGGCTAAATCTGCAGTGTTAGGTGTGGCCTCAGCACCACAGAGTGTGGTCTCTGCTTGATACGTATAATGAAATGACCCAGAAATTTTCTCAGAAATAAGGAACAGTTCTTTCCCAAACATGTTTACGTCTATATTCCTTGCAAGACAGAAAACTGCTTGCATCTTTGAAAAGGCAGGTTTTCCTAATCATCCTTCCCAATCTACATGCCTAGGAATAAAAATTCAACCAAGATACTCAGCTACAGTAAAAAATGATATAGGACAAAAAGAGTATCCTTGACTCTTTTATCCCAGCTACCATCCCCCTCTCCTCCTTTGTCCTCTCCACCCTCCCTCTCCCTTCTAGAATGTTTCCAGAGGTGAATTCCCTCAGAGAAGCACAGCCTTTCTGCTTGGAAGCGCTGTGCTCATAGAGCAGCGGTTCTCAACCTGTGGGTCGCGACCCCTTTGGGGGTCGAATGACCCTTTCACAGGGGTCGCCTAAGACCATCGGAAAACACATATATAATTACGTATTGTTTTTGTGATTAATCACTATGCTTTAATTATGTTCAATTTGTAACAATGAAAATACTTCCTGCATATCAGATATTTACACTGCGATTCATAACAGTAGCAAAATTACAGTTATGAAGTAGCAACGAAAATAATTGTATGGTTGGGGGTCACCACAACATGAGGAACTGTATTAAAGAGTCGCGGCATTAGGAAGGTTGAGAACCACTGTGAGGGAAGCCTGCTCTGTAAATAATGCTGTTATGGTGCCCCCTGGTGAAGAACAGAAACATTACAAGGGGCCCCTCCAAGTGATTTATGCCTTTCAATTCAGTGAGGACTACCAAATGCTTACTAAAGGCATGGCTGTCTGCCAAGTAGTGGGTGGTGGGGACAGAAGAGGAAATTAAATAAATAAAATGTATTTGAACAATATAACAACCAATTGTAATAAACTGGTCTCCTCCAGCCTTTTACACACCGATAATCCTAAAGATTATTCTTCCTAAACACACACAGCTTTGAGAATTCGTTCTCACAAAGGTCCCCCTTATATCCTGAATTAAATATAAAATCCAGTGGTTGGGGGAAGTCAAAGTCTTCCCTAGTAAGGCCTGGCATACCTTTTAGCCATACATTTCATTTCCCAGGTACATTTTCTAGCCCCTGTCTCATCAATTGGAAGCCCATATCATCCAGTCAGCTGTAAATGATTCCCAGGGATATTCCAGCTCTTTTAATCTCTGGATAAGTGGATTGGATGAGGCCCCCTAGCCCTTGACTTTATTTCTCTTAGTCTTCCCAAGTGCCGTCAGAAATAAATCTCTCATCCAGAAAGGGACTTCTGCGGCCTTGGTCACCAGCACCAGCGTCCCATGGGGGCGTCCGACAGGCTGCTTTCCCTCTTTCCGCTTTTATGCTGCCTGGAAATAGGACAGCCCCAGAAATAGCATGCAAGGCTTTTTATTATGAATGTGTGCTTTTCTTTCTAGGAATAGGGTTCATAGCTTTCATCCAATTCTTACGTCTATAAAGCCAAAGACATTAACAAACTCTGTAGTCCAAATATGCTATTCGCCATTTCCCAGAAATGCCCACTTTTCTGATCTGATTTTTTGCTCATTCTCTTTATTCTTCCTACTCCATTCCATCTCTGCCTGTTGGAATCCTACCCGTTCTTCGGTTCTTCGAGGTCCTCTCAACTGCCACTTCCTTCACGGAGCCTTTTCTAATGTGATCTCTTCCTCCTTTAAATGCCCGAATCTTTTTGTTTGTACCTCTTTTGGGGACAATTGTTATTCTTTATGTGCTTGTTATTCCCCCTTCCAGATTATTAATATCTTCAGAGATGGAACTGCTTTTCTCATTTTTATAGTCTCTGAAGCCCTATTTTATTGACTTTAAGGCACCATTGATTGTGTGGCACATCACTACTTTAGAAAATAAATTAAGGAAAAAATACTGCCAGTTAAGCTATTACTATGCTTTCTTATTACTTATATTTTACAATTTCACTCCTATTTAAGAGTTCATTCAGATTTATTTTTATTATCACTACAATGCACATAAATTTAACTGAATGCCATTATGGTATTCTTATAATTTCCTTATATTTAGCCCAACACTTCTGAA